GGATAAAAATTCCGAACAATTGATACATGCGACAGTTCATACTTTTGGGAAAATAAGGAAACTCGAGATTATTGCTGATGAGGAGGAAGAGTCTCATATTTACGATCGATTATGGCGTAAACCTAGAGTTAGGCAGTATTGGCATGATGGGACATTACATCGAGAAGCTGAGGAAAGAAAATCAAGTTATACTGAATTGTTTTGGGATCTTATTTTTGTAGCAGTTGTGAATAATTTAGGACATTTATTGGTTTCTGATATTTCATTCAGTAATCTGGAAAGGTTTATTATTACCTTGTAAGTTTCAGAAAACAATAGTAAAGGAAAGAATAGGATGGAAAAATGGGGATTTTTAATAATTGCAATAATTATAATATTATATTAATTAATTAATCAAATGTTAAATTTTATAGTTATCCTATTTATCGTGTTTGGCTAGATGTTCATACATACTTGAATGTTTTTAGTTCAGAAGATCTTCTTGAAAAATTTTTATTACTTTGGGTAATTATTATTGATAGTTAATTAGTTTAATATATCATAATAGAGAATATAATCAATTGACATATTTATATAATTTTTAATAATTTCTTTAAAGGAAATGTCACTTGTAATAGTGATGGGAACTCATGCAATGGATATTTATAATGATACCAAAATAATTTTTTTATGTAAGAAAAATTTAATTAATTAATTAATCTGACTAATTAATATTTTTTTTTTTTATTATTCTAATACCTAAATATTGATTGTTGTTAGCATCATACGTTTTTGCTAGAATGACATTTTTGTGTATGTATATTTTACTGGCAACATGGTTACCATTGTTTCGTAGATCTTTGATTACATTTGCTTGGGGGATTCTTATCCCAACTCTATTTTGGCTTGTCGCTATATTTGTACCAGCATCAAATACTAAAGATTTAATGTGGACTGCAATTTCATTTGGTATGAAACATCCATTTTTTGTAGATATATAGATTTGTAATATAATGGAGCAATCTATAATTGATTATTTAGTATCCATTGCTTAATAATCTTATTAATAATAACCATTATTTAATCCACCATCCATGAAATCAGAATTATTGTGGTCTTTAGTCATTCCACTATACAACCGCTACGGTATAAAAAGACATCCTCACAACAGTGACTTTAAAAAAGTGGATAGTGTAGCAAGTACAATCCATGAAAATAGTATTAACGAGAAACGACCAATAGTTCCTCATCAAGCAATGAAAACAAGGGGAACAGAGTACCAGTGGAAATGGAAAGATGTTTTCTTGTTTTCTCAACCTCCGGTGTATAAGACTGCATTGAATATTGAACATTGGAGTGAGAGATTAGGAACTTTTACCATTATTTGTTTAGGCGAAGGTTTAATATTTTTTTTCTTCCCTCAAAAAAAAAAAAAAAAAGTTTACCCGAATGCAATCAATGACATATTCTAAAAATATTATTTTATCAACCCACAAAACTTATTTATGATTAAAATTTAAATCAATCAAATTAAACCAATCAAATTAAATTACTTACTAAAGGAAAGTGAACCATTCCAAATAGTACACCGGTGAACACGTGTCTTCTAAGTGCATGTAGATATTGTCTACTAGCGTCAACATCAAAATATATCCAATGTAAATTATATGATATTAATAGTCCTAACAGTGCCTAATCAGAAACAAATTAATCGAGTAAATAATTGACTAATGATTATTTATTATTAATCATTGATTATCTAATGAATATTTCTTTCTACCTTGCCAAGTTGACCATCAGGATAAGAATTAATACCAGTATATAAAATTCCAAACATCTAAAAAATAATATAAAAATATCATAAAAATATTCCATTCCAACCACAAAAAAACCAGTAGATAAATTGTATCAAATCACGTGATCTCAACTGTGAACCAACAATCAACTCTTCTATATATGAGCCAAATCACCTATTTCGTTCAACTTATTAATATTAATATTGAAATAGATATTTGTGAATGAAGTGCTCATAATGTGATGTGTTTATCAGGTAGATGTATTCCTTTTATTCTAATAATATATAATTGAAAAAAAAACAGTAAAACTCAACCATATTGCGCATTTTAAAAGCTAATTACTCAAAAACTAAACATCAGATTCGGTTAGAAAATGATTTAAAATAACTTTAAAAAGCAAATCTTTGTTTAAATTTTATTTGAAACAAGTTGGATTGTTTTTTTAGCGAAAGTTACAAAAATTTTCCAGCAACAATAATTTTCCGGTTTTTTTTGAAACACACTGTATATACAGTTACTAATTAGAAATTCAAAATTTTATTAAATTAATGATAAATGATGACAATAAATATATGTGTGAAATAATGATATTTGTGTGATGTTTGTTAAATAATTTTTTGTGGAAAAAAAAAATCATATAAATAATTACAATCACCAGTATTGTAATATTTCATAAACTTCAGCTGCAATTTCAGTATTATCGGCTTGAAACACTTCATATTTTAAATTATTTAATTGTTGTTCTAAATTAATGTAATTGTGTACAGCCAAAAGTTCTTTTGGATCAAAGGTTTTTGTTAAAGTAATTTTTGTTGGTATTTGTAATTCATCAAATTTCAACAGTCTGCTTGTATAACAAGCATTTTCATCATTATACATTTGCTTGGTAGTCTTTTGGTTTTTAATGTTATCTGCAGCAGCAAATTCCATGGAGATTTTCGATGTAGGCATATTACACACTTTACACAACCAATCACTCAAAGTTTTATACAATTCATCGGCTGTTGGTCGTTTGAATGGATCAGCATGCCAGCATTCTTTCATCAAATTGAGATAAGATTCTGGTATTTTATCGACATTGCCATCACCCTCATCAATATCGGGTCTTAATCCATTGAAACATATTTCCATTGCCAAGTTTTTATCATGTGGCCTGTCTGAAAATGGTTTTCTAGAATAAATCAATTCCCACATTATTATACCAAAACTATAAATATCGGCGGCTGATGTAAATTGATTGTTTTGTATAATTTCGGGTGCCGTATAAGGCAAAACTCCGTATACGCCATCGTCATCATTGCCATCGGGTTTGATTCTATTGCATAAACCCAAGTCACTTAATAAAATTGTGTAAGAGTGTATAAGAATATTTCCACTGTGTAAATTTTTGTGAACTTGGTTTTTGCTGTGAATACGTGTAAGTCCCGTGGCGATCGCGAATAGGATGTCTAATTTTTTCTGCCAAGTGATTTTTTTTGATATATTTTTGCTCAAGTATTTGCCTAGGTCTCCATTTCTTGCGTACTGAACAACAACCATGTAGTTATTTGTTTTTGGATCTTGAGTTAGTCCATAATACCTTGTAATGTAATTTCCACTATTATTTTCACTTTGTAAGTGTATCGAGAGCTAATTGGTTTGAAAAAAATGTATGTATGTTAGAAATATATAGATAATTATAAATTTTTTTTAATAAGCAACGAAAAATTTTTTTTTCTTACCTCATCAAAGAATTTTGAATTTATATTTTTAGAATTGTCAATACTTTTTAATACAATTCGCCATTCACCACAACGAACAAAAGTTTTTGACTTTTTATCAAATTTTTCACGTGGGCCATCCAACCAAATCGCCTGATAAGTATTTCCATAACCACCTTGGGCAATAAATTCAATATTTTTCAGTCTATCGTACGGAATCCATTCCAAATAATCGAAACGACTTTTGGCATTTATTTGAGTTGTCAACATAAAACAATCGATATCATCATTTCCAGTTGTCCACGTCCCGTAATTCAATTCAAAATTCTTACTCTCACAACGTTGACACCATAATGTAAAATAGCCGATATCAACTAGCGTTCGCTGACAAGTGTGACAAGTAGTTTGTTTTTTTGATGATAATGATAACGAGGAAAAGATTTTCGAGTCACGAGATTTTCTAATACTTATATCCTTGAATTTTGCTAGGTATGATAAAGTTCTTGACACTCTGTTGTGTAAGGAGACTGTTGAAGAATTATTACTTTTTAATGGTAATTGTTCTTTTTCGTTATTATGATTATAATTGTCCTTCTTTAGATCTTGATATTTTTGAGAATAGTTATTTGATTTATGAAAGGATTGAATACCAAGTATACTGTTGGTTCTTGACGGGTTATATTTTTTTGGGGGATTTTTTGTTGATAGAAACTGCATTGATGTATTTTGTGGTTCTGGTAGTAGCGATGTTATTGGAACCATTGTTGGCGGTGGTGTTGATGATGATGATGGTGGTGATGGTGGCGTTGAATGAATCAATACTCCATTTTCCCTTGGATAATTTTGATTTATTGGTAATTGATTTCCATAAAAAGTTTTATCATTATTGTAATTATTGTAATTATTGTAATTATTGTACTTATTGTAATTATTATAATTATTGTAATTTGTATATTGTTGTTGCTGTGAATATTGATCATAATTATAATTTGATTGCAAGCGTGAATGTTGATTTTGATTTTGATATGGGTTAAATTGATTAAATTGTTGTTGGTGATTGGGGTATTGGTGCTGATTTGAATAATAATATTGATCATTATATTTTTCTTGGGGTTGATGATAAATTTCGTGATTATTTTTTTCTTGGAATAATGGATTATTGTTGTTGTTGTTAAATGGATGAATAATATTATCTTTTCTATGTTGTTGTTGTTGTTGTTGTTGTTGTTGTTGATTATTATTATAAAGATCATAGTTATCATTCTTCTTCTCTAAGTTATAATTATAATTATTTTCAAAACTGCGATCATAATTGTTTTCAAAATTGCGATCATAATTATTTTCGGAATTGTGATTATTTTCAAAATCGTTGTCAAAACCATTATTATTGATGCTTCTCGAATTATTATTATTATAATGATTGCTAGTATGATTTACATTATTATTGTTTGGTCCAATTAAATAATATAAATGTTGATTATTTGGTTCGTGTTGTTGTATCAACCTACTTTGTTCATATTGATTATGTTGATTATGGTTTGAATTATTATTGTTGTTAATAGAGCTGTTGATATTGGAAGGATTTGAATCATTTGGGTAATTTGAAGGAAATATGTCATATTTGGCGTTGTATGATGGATTTCTGTTTAGATTTAGTTGTTTTAATAATCGTTTTTGTCTTAATATTTGTAACTTTTGTTGTTTTTGTTGGTTTTTTAATTGTTTTCTAATTCTTTTGGAAATTTTTTTGTTTCCTCTTTTATTTCTTTTCTTTATTTTTAAAAAAAAATTTTTTTTTTAGAAGAAAAAAAAAAAATGAAAATTTGAACATTCGTAATCAAAAAAGTATAAATATATATATTTACCTTTAAAAACCATCTAAAAAATTTTATTTTAACCATTTCTAATTAGTAATATATTTTCTAAATTTATTTTTGATTTTTGATTTTTTGATTTTTTTTACAAAATTTTTTACATTAATAAAAAATCTTTTTTAGATGATTTTTATATTATTTTAATTGTTAATTCTTTATTGGATAAAAGGCTAATCCAACTCAATAACAACAATAACAACCAAATAATGAATTTGAATATTTGTCACATTGTTTTTTTTTTGGATTTATTCAGACCTTTCAAGCTAATTTATTATACAAATAATGGATTTTTTTGTTTTTAGGGGAAAAGTTTCATTTAAATTACAATTACTGCATGTATGTATATTACTCGTGCATGCATCTATGCATGTGTTTCATCAACATTATTACAATTCCTTTGATTTGTTGGATTTGTTTGTTGAAAATCCAAATAAGAATCCAAAAAAAGCAATTTTTAATTCATAAATAATATGGAAAAGAATCTTTTCGATGATAAAGATTATAACAAAAAATATTATTAACAATAAAAAAATAAAAATCTTTGATTTTCAATTTCATTAATATTCATCATCATCATTTATAAATTAAGGAAATTTTTTAATTAAATTTTACTTTTATAGGCTGAATTAACTGTCATCAGCAGCTAGCTATTATTTAGGCTTGCTAAGCCCAATAAATTATAAAAGTAATTTTTTGATGCAGAATTTTCTTGGAAGATTTTTTTTAGTTCTTTATAATAATTTTTGTGTAACAAAAGAGAAAAGAATCGGAAGAAAGATCCATTTAAAACCCCTTTTTAGATAAAATTTAAAAAGTGATAATTATCATTAAATACATATATAGTAATTAAATAGTGATAAAATGAATATGACTCGTTGTGCGACACTCTTACATGAATGGTTTTTATTTAACAACGACAACTTTATTGATAATTTTAACAACTCTTAAAAAATGAACGTGAAAATCTTGGTGAATCAGAACATTTTATAGTTGACTTTTAAAAATTAACTTGCAGCATGATGCTAAATCCGTTTTTGTTCAAAAAACAAACAAACAACTTTGTTACACGCTATATTTCTTTTTTAATTTTTAAAACACCCTTGCGATTGTTATTTTATTGATATTTGTATTGTTGTCAATATTTGGATTTATGTTAATGTTATTGGTATTAGTGTTATCACGGTTGATGGTGTTATTATGATCAATGTTGACATGAATGTTTGATTGATTCAAGATGTGGTTTATGTTTAAGAGAAGTTAGGGTCATCAGAGCTATATCAATTAGTTGTTTTAAGAAATTTGACCTCGTTAAACAGACTTTGAGAAGTTTTCTTTACATCCAGGTCGTGATTGTATTGATGTATTACAGTTTACTTAAACTATCCGTATATAAATGAATCTGACATGTACGCCAATGGTCTTTTCATGGTATTAACAGAAAGCTTTGGACGAGAAACCTTAATGGTATTGGGACTGGCTAGATAAGTAGATTATGGACAATTAGAATCCCTTATCAACAAGGCTATCCTGAAATAATTGAAACTGTGTCAGAGCCCATTGTTGTTAAGGTATATACATGTGAAATGATGCGTGTTAAAGAAGAGCTTTTATAACCTGGGCAATTCCATTAGATTGATCCTTCATATGCAATAAGTGGCGTATTTGATGAGAAAATGGAATTTAGCTAAAGGTGACGACACTTCAATATATGAGTGTACACTAGAGCATTGGGCATCATACCTAGCTGTAAATGATACACAGATAGCCAAAATTGAAAAAGTACCTGCACGAACAGATATTGCATACGTTGCTTATCTTTTACCTTTTATTAGCAAGTGTGTACATATACACAATTTTGAAATGCCAAGTAATACTGTTGAATGAGTTCATGCATGCAAAAAACCAACAAATCCAATTTAAACGGGTCTAACATATTTAACGAATCTGATGACAATAACACCCGCGTCCCTAAAACAAGTTAAAAATAGTAAAGAACGATAAATTTAATTATTATTTATTTATTTATTTATTATTACTTTATCTTTTTTCTTGCATATACAATTTATTCATTCTTATGTAAATTTTTATTTACCCCCTTAATATTAATATTAAAGTATTTTTTTTTAGTAATATTCTTCCTAATTTGACCATATTAATTATTATCATTGTGTATTGTGTATTTTAGAACGTAGACGACAATTTCATTGGCCTTGGTAGACATTTCTTTCCATTTTTGATATTATGTAGATTCTGGATTTTTCTGCCTCGGATTGATGTCTTTTGATCTAGCAAATTCTCTGAATTTAAATCACTATTTAACACATTTTATTCTTTGCATATGAGGCATATGCTTTGAAATTTCAATGTGCCCCCATTAAATACCCATACTTAAAAGAGTTTTTGATTCTTTATGTAACATTATAATATAAAAATTACCTTTTCTCAGTTTATACCTTTTTCAGTATTACAAGTACTTATTATTCAAGAATCGAAAGAAACTTCAATATGTTTCTCAAGTAATAAATAAGTGCATCCATAATATATATAATTTATTATTTTTGATTTAAAATATATGTAGATTTTTATATTTTAATAAAAATTTGAAATATTTGGTTGCACGTGAAATATTCTGTTGTAAAGAAGACTTGAAACGGTAAAATTTAGTGCAGTTACGGATGAGATCAACATCAAAGGTAATGAGTTGTTTTGCTATGTTAGCTTGAAATGATTTGAAATAATTTGTTAAAAATTGAAGTCTGAACAAAAATATTTTCGTTTTTCATTGTTATCTATTTGACAACCGAAAAACCCGAACCCGACCCGAAACCCGAAAACTTTTTGGACTGTACCAATTATACTTAAGGTCAAAAAATAATTAAATTGTAATAAAAATCCTAAAAATTTGCATTGCACCATCTATCATAATTTTATACAATTGACACAAGATGCAATTCGTGATGCAAGCCTCAATTCATGGTGCAAACATGATTTATGACAATTTATTAGCTAACAAAACCTTTTTAGCTATGAAGCATTGATGTTACATTAAAAATTAAAAAATTGAAAAGTTTTCATGCAATAAACAAAAGAGTTTTATATGTGGTTAAAGTTTGAATTAATTCATACACATCACGATTATGTTTTGTGTTGTGATGGTGGCTGAAATTATTTTAAGAAATATGAAATAGTTTATCTATAGAAATTAGGAATTTAGGCTCCTAAACTAGTGACAAAACTTATAAATTACCTAAACTATGGGCAAACTCCTAAACTGTGGTTAAATTATCAAATCTATGACGATAGATAAAACGGATTTATCGAAGTGCTGTCCAATCACATGCCGTACATGTGATCTATATAGTCACTTTCGTTTTGTATTTTTTATATATTTATTAAAAAAGATTAGGATTATCATAAAAATAACGTCATTTTTTGACCCAATTCGTTTTGTAATAATAAAACAAACCAACTCTTTTTTTTTGTTCAATGAAACGCTTTTGTGGTCGGAAATTAAACAGTAGAGTTTAATTGACCACTTGGTTTTCACCTGCAGTTTAGGTTTCGCCAACTTCGCCGCAAATTTAGGTCTAAACTATGGTTAGTTCCGGCCATTATCTACGAGCCTTGTGTCTTTAATTATGTATTGAGTCACGGATTGTCGTGAATTACGTCTTGCGTCGCGAATTGTGTTTTGCGTCACGCATGACACAAATTGCAGCCTTTAAACCACTATAACTGTTTCGCCTTTTATATTTAATTAATTATTATTATCTGAATTTATTTAAATTACAAAATTTTCATATTAACCCGAAATCAACTCGAACTCGACCCGAAAATTTCGGGTCGGTCTCGGGTTTGCCTTTAAAACATTCGGGTTCGGATTGACACTTAATCCGACCTGTTAGGAGCTTTACATTCAAGTTGACCAAAAACTTATGACCTTGCATTTGAGCCTTAGTGTTAATACATTTTCGGGCCACAAGACCGGGATTAAAAACACTTTTTTACATTTTATGTTATTATTATCGGTCAATTCAATGATCGACAAACAAAACTTTTTTTCGTGAAAAATTTTTATTAATTTCCCCTTCGGAGAAAACAAACAAATTTATTTTTGAATGGTCTGGATAAGAAAATTTTTATTTTTAATTGCTAAAAAGGGGGGTTTTTTTTTTAATTAAGAAAAAAAATGCTTAGTTGAATTTTTTTTTTTTCGTAAATAACTTTTGATGTTTGCATGAAGCTTATTCTTCTATAGCGATATACTTGAAAAAAAAAAAATAATAGATACAATTGACCTTTAATTTGGGATAAATGAATAAATACGAGGAAAAGATCAGGACAAAAAGATTTTTTTTTTAAAGGATCTCTTATTAAATTTATTAAATTCGTGAACAAACAAACAAACAATTTTTTTGCTTAACGCAACAAATAAAATAAAAAGATTGATATAATAATAATATGTCTGGCTAATATTGATGCTTCGAACAAATATGCAGATACCTCGCATTTGAATGTAACGTAAAGCCAAATCATACATAGAACGCCGGTCCGGCACTATGTGCCTTGCTCGACACTCGAAATCTAATGAAACGTAAAGGGCAATACCGGTGACACCGTTTTTTGCGATTTTTTGGTCCACAAGTTAGGGGTGGCGGGCCTATTTATATGTTTTTTGTTGTAGTTTATTAAACTACTCGCTCAATGGCCATGAAATAGTCTATTCTTATTAAAGATTGCATCATTGATCATGAATGCATGATATGATGCCGAGATTCTTCGCATCTAGTGCTAATTTTGATGCTCTGAGCTAATATACATGTATTAGTATGTGATTGAGTCGTATGATTTTATAATATTATGACGCCAGAATATCATCGCGCTGACCCAAAAAGAAAAAAAAAACTATATAGTAGCAGCGACATTACCCATATTTATTTCATTATTATATGTAAATATAGGTATTAAAAATAAAATTTACACGGATTTTTCATTGGTTCCAGTGGTTCCAGTTGTTCTAGCGTTCC